CTGGCGAGGCACCGCGTAAATGAGAAATCGCGGAAAGTGAAACCGCGTAAAGCGGGGTAATACTGTACTTATAATTTTAAAAGTTTGTTTATGCACTTATCTGAATATTATCTGATATGCATATAGCTGGTGTGCAGCACAAGGGATGAAAATAAAAGAGGGTCCACTAGGTCTGATAGCCATTTAGGAGCAGTGTGGCTACAGCACACTGTAGGCAAGAGATGGGGACTCGAGGCTGTGACTCAACTGGAGTCCTTAATTTGTTGACTTAAGACTTGACTTGGACTCAGATGTAATGTGGCTTGATATGACGAGAGACTTACCTCTCTTGACTTGCAACTTGACTTGAGGCTCATGATATTCATGCCATCTCTTTATGTAAATGTGCAAGTACATAAACTAGTTTAATGATTTCTTTTCAAATTTATATATATTGAGAGAAAAAGAGACAGATCAGTATTAAGATTTAAAAGTACAGTACAGTACAGTACTCTGTACACTTGATGCTCTTCCCAGAAGATATATGTCGACTTTGAATAATTTAGAAGTGTTTTTTACTTCCTGTCGACTATAGATTAGATCACTTAAAACTTGGTCTTATGTACACTCACGTGCCATTGTTTCGATGTACCCTCTACCGCTACTCCTGGCTCGACTCGAGTGAAGTCGTAGTCAGGGCTGCAAACTGAACGGTCCCTCTTGTAAAGTGATGTTAAGTATAGTAATGGTAAATAAAGTGTCATGAAGTCACTAAAAAACCTGTATCGTGCTTATATTCTCTCAAATACTACATCATGAGCTGTTATTCGTATAATACAGTGAAGCTTCGAGCTACCACATTGCACCATAGAACGATGGAGGGAGGGGGTGAGAGGGGGAGGGGGGCATTCGGTATGAAGCCAAGGCTACGACTTCCATCGAGATCGAGTGCATGAAACTATATATATATATATATATATATATACACACAGTTGTACCCCACTTAACGCGGTCAATAGAACCCAGAGGGTCCCGTGTTAAGTGAAATCCGCGTTTAGTGAACAACAGAACATGTGGGATTAATTCCAATAGAAACCGGCCTGACCCCCAAACTCCACTTTTTGAAGACACATAACTATGTTGTAGTAAAAATAACATCTTAATTTTATGATGGTACATGCACACAATTAATACTTAAGAGAAATAGAGAAATACAGTCGCCAAGTTAATGTCCATTCAAATAATGGACTCAACTCCCTCCCCCTCTCACACTACACAGCCGGCTAACAGATGGTCGGTCGGTCCCTCCCTCCCCCCCCCACCCCCCACCAACCGTCCCAAGGAGATGTGTGGGATAACCTCAAACTAAAGTTAGGAAAATATAATTGACATTGTTGGATTCCTTGTAAGACCAGGAATATTTTGAATATAAATGTCATATATTTTGGACAAAAGATAACATAGTTACCTAGAGAAAAAATTTTATCTAAAAATTGTAAGTTTAAAGCAAAATATATGATGTTTATATTCAAAATGATCACCAAATTATAAGAATTCCAGTAATGTAAATTATATTCTGACCGGGTAATTTGTATGAATTTTATGAGCTAAAACAAATATCTTCAGTTAATAAAAAAAAAAATAATCTTCACGACACTATCTGTCAATCAATGTACCCCACCTTGCCTCCCCCCTCTTCCAACCGCGCGGTCAGTCCCAACCCTCCCCCCCACCCCCCACCAATCCTCCCTTCCAGAGTTTTTAACATTTAGTATTAAATAATACCTCAGATTAAAGTTAGGATAATATAATTGACATTGCTGGATTCCTTGTAAGACCAGGAATATTTTGAATATAAATGTCATATATTTTGGACAAAAGATACCATAGTTACCTAGAGAAAATTTTTTATCTAAAAATTGTAAGTTTAAAGCAAAATATATGATGTTTATATTCAAAATGATCACCAAATTATAAGAATTCCAGCAATGTAAATTATATTCTGACCGGGTAATTTGTATGAATTTTATGAGCTAAAACAAATATCTTCAGTTAAAAAAAAATAATTCTTCACCGGGTAACAGATGGTCGGTCGGTTGGTTGGTCCCTCCCTCCCCCCCACCCCCCACCAACCGTCCCAAGGAGATGTGTGGGATAACCACTAAATTTTAATAAATAATACCTCAAACTAAAGTTAGGATAATATAATTGACATTGCTGGATTCCTTGTAAGACCAGGAATATTTTGAATATAAATGTCATATATTTTGGACAAAAGATACCATAGTTACCTAGAGAAAAATTTTTATCTAAAAATTGTAAGTTTAAAGCAAAATATATGATGTTTATATTCAAAATGATCACCAAATTATAAGAATTCCAGCAATGTAAATTATATTCTGGCCTGGTAATTTGTATGAATTTTATGAGCTAAAACAGGCAGTCAGGCAGGGTGGCTGGTGGGGCAAATCTAAAAATAGCATCTCGGACACTCACTGCGTATATGTGGAAAAAATCCGTGTTAAGTGAAAGTTCAGCTTTGGCAAGGCACCGCGTATATGCGAAAACGCGTTAAGTGAAACCGCGTTAGGCGGGGTAAAACTGTATATATATATATATACATATATATATACATATATATATATATATATATATATATATATATATATATATATATATATATATATATATATATATATATATATATATATATATATATATATATATATATATATATATATATATATATATTAAACTAAACAAATATAGAAAAAGGCTGCTCTTTAGTTTTAAATACTAATGATATGTTGATTAAGAATATAGAATTGGAAGCATTAAAAATAATGAAAAGAACTGCAAAACTATACATGGCTCCCTCCAAGTGTGGGAATTTTAACTGTGGGGAACGCAATTATGCACATCAATGCCATGCAACCCAAATTCAAAATACACAGGCATAAATTTCCATGTGTCATGGTCGAGTGGGGGAAGGAGAAAGGAGAGAGAGAGAGAGTGGAAGTGAGTAGAGAATCTGGCTGTTGATTGGCTGAGTGGCCACTATCAACCAATAAGAGACGAGGGCGTCACTTCCTGGCTTGGCCGTGACGTCACCAATCCCAGTCCTCTCCTCAAGACATTACAGCAGCTTGCTTTTTCTTGTATTTTTGAGGTGTTTTTGGCTGCTACAGCCTTCATGGCTACCCCGACTTACTGCTGTTGGGACTCCAGCACCTGCCCAGCCAGGCAGAAGAGTGAAGTCAATGACCCTGGCACACAAGAAGGAGATAATAGACTGACTGGACAATGGCAAAAAAATGTTTGTTCTTCTTTTTTAAGGGCTTATTTCTGTTTTATTATTCACCTTTTATAACTAGGGAACACATATTTAACTGAAGGTAACTTTCATAGAGGTTATGTGCAGAAAAAGTGCCTTTAAAAGACCACTTTTGAGCTTGGTGTGTATCTGGAAGAGTCTCGGAACTTTTTTTTAGTACCCAAGTATGCACTGCTCCATTGGCACCAATTACCCGCATGCTTGGGGGGAGCACTGTACTATTTTACCTAAAAGTATTTATCATCTTAAATATGGTAAAAAACAACTGGCTAAGCAAGATATTTTTGTTAAATTCCCGATCAGTAAAATAATTGATAATGGCATACCCCTAAGTCAGTAAAGATGGTCGCCACCTCCTCCCAACCAGTCACACCTCGACACTGTAGGGCTGGAGCACCATCAGGATCATCATGACACTGACAGGGGCCGAGGTCCTCAGGGGGGGGACAACCAGCCAAGCATCCAACAATAATAATAGCCAGCAGAACCTGAATGACCTGTATCATCCTTGAGAAAAGAGAAAGACTGAAATTCATGTTCGGGGTAGTTCTTCTTAAACTCGTAGCCTTTTATAAGTTGAATTATGGAGAATATTATCATTAATTTGCTACTAAAGTTCCCTGGGATCAAAATCAGTTTCAGTGATGGAACAAGGAAAAGTGTACAATGTACAGCACTGTGCAGTATTCAAATTACTTGTGGTTATTGGGTTTTTAAGTGTTTGATCAGTAGATTATATTTACATATGTAATGACTGAAATGGTTAGAAATTTTTCTTAGGTTTTTTAAAATTAAGATATTGATTGTGTGTTTTGATCTTCATTCTCTCTTTCCATTTGTCTATGCAGATGAATTCTATGTAATGAAAAGAACCTATTTGTTCATCTTGGTGGCTCAGATTATTCCATAAAAGCACAATAATTTGATAAATGAACAGCTGAAAGGAAATGTTTACATATAGATTTTCAGTACAGTACAGTATATATGGTATAGGGTACAGTATATATGGTACATGGTACAGTATATAGCTTTGTCTTTGGTCTCATTCACAATGCAGCTTGACTGTATAATATAGTTTAGAGTCTTGACATTCAACACTATAGTAATGGTTGCCCCTTGTGTAACGAGGATGGCCGACCCAAGGGCCACCTAGGCATGATTTGTTTAAGGTGTACAGTAGAAGCTGTCGCCAGCACAACAACCACACCCTGAGTTAGTGAGCTGCATGACCCAGTGTTAAGGAATAGTCCGAGAAGCCCAAACATCTCAGCAACTGCACTGGCTAACCATTATCCTGGAATACAATCCGCAAATCGATTAACATCAAGGTCCCCAATTACTGCTGTGTAGACTGAGGCAAATGGCGTAAAAAACCTTGCCCATAGTTTCACCCTGCCCGGGGACCCAACCCAGGTCCGCTCACTTGCGAGGTGAGCATGCTGACCATTACACCACAGGTCGCCACACACTAATCTTATGTACAAAGGCTATTAAAATATTAATAAATTTACCTGTAAATTAAGTTAGAAATTTTGTCACTAATGTAAATACATTTTTTATTTTTTTTATTTTATGGGCATTCAAAGTTTGTAGTGAACACCACCTGCTATAAAACACATTGTATATAGTACAGTACTGTATACTTTATTTATCTACAAGTAATGCAGAAGATTAATACAGTACTAACTTGTTCATAGTGAAGTAATTCTGCTCAGGACTGATCCTGTACTGAGTGAGGTACCGTGTAGTACTGCGTCTTTCTCCAAGTTGTCCCCTAAATTGAAGACATTCAAAGCAGTTTCATATTTACCAGGTGTTTTTTCTTTTATTTTGTGCTTCTGTTATATTTCCAAGGCTTTTGTGCATTGTTTTTGACATGATAAAAGGAAAATAAGTACAGTATGTATAATTAAATCTTTTAATATTTTATATTGCCTGTAAAAGTTAAAAGAAGAAATTGTAGGGAATTATATTCATTAGTATCCCCACCACTGGTCATTCCCATGGGGGTGAGAATTTCTGCACCAGATGTGAACCTTCTCACCCACTTAACTACAATATCTATTTTTAGACTATATATAGACCCTCGCTCCAAGACTATGTGGTAACACAAACTGTGTGGACAGAATCTTATGGTCCATTTAGATACCCACAAGATGCTACAAATATGAATTGTCAAAATCAAAATTACTTCTGTACTGTATAGTAAATCATTAAATTAATTTTGATCACATGCAGGACTTGACCCCACCCCCCCCTCCCCTCCTCACCCTCACTCTCTCCTTCTATTTGGGTGGGGGCTAACACTTCAACCTTATTGTATTGTATAGAGTTATTAAAAGGAAAAGCTGTCACACTACAAAGAGTGCATGAGAGTGAGAAGGATTAATAAAAAAATGTTTGAAAGGAATCTGAATGTCAATTTGACTTAGTGCAAAGCAAAGCTGAAGGGGAAAGGAGATGTGAGTTTGGGACAACTGAGAAAAGTAAGGTTTGGAATGTCTGAGAGAGCAAGAATAGAAAATGTAATGATGTTGAGTCATGGAATGTGGAGTTGTATGATAGAACAGGAGGAGATGGTGGGTTGTAGTCAATACAGTTACTCTGGGGAATGAAATGATGCAAGTGTTTAGGAAGTATTTTGTGAAGCTGGTTGTGAGGAAATATGGAGTACCAAAAGTGAATGGAAATGGACAAAAACAAATCAGAAATGTTTTCTGGGAGGGGATTGATAGTGGGGAGTGTATGGTTAAAAAATAATAAAATAAAAATTAAATGTAAATACCTGTATAGGCAGGATAATTGAAAAATAGAGAATTATTAGACTGTACTCTCATCTACTGTAGAGTAGAGATGACTTTTTTTTCTTTTTTTGTGAGTTAAGGAATTAACATTTCTCTGAATTATGCTTCTCAGTAGCCTACTACAAAGTTGAAATTTATTAAAGTTCTCCACAATTTCATTCAGAAATTATGCAATGATTGTGTGGCTTTGGGAAAGAAACAGTAAAGGTTCTGCCATCAATTGTCTTCTCAAGTCGGGGTGCATACTGTATTGCCTGTTGGCACATTTAATTCCGCTTCTCCCAATGTCAAGATGGCTCTGTATAACAGGGGCACCTCCTGAATTGTCAATAGGGTCAGTAGGTTGTAAATGATGTGTTGATTGTGAAATCTCATTTCATAGCTTGAGACCAAACTGGGTGGAACCCAATCAGCCCTTAGTTGCTGTTATAAGGGTTGAGTGTGAGTTCTTACCACCTAGACTTGGCTGACTGGATAATGTGGGTAGTCTGAACTAGGTTATAAAATTTATTTCAGGATTAAACCATTAATTTTGTTATTTTTATAAAATGCTGTTATGCATTCTCTTTCAGGAGATATTCTTGTAATGGACGAAGAAGGTTACTTGTACTTCAAGGATCGTACAGGAGATACATTCCGCTGGAAAGGTGAAAATGTGGCAACTAGTGAGGTGGAAGCTGTTGTCTCCAAAGTGGCAGGTCATGCAGATGTTGTGGTCTATGGAGTTGAGGTGAACACAGTCTGCTTTTGTTGTACTGTACAGTGTTGTATTCCATGTGTATATATTTGATAATTAACAATTATATTATATTTTATTTTCCAGAGTTTAGGTACAATAATTGTTAATCTTAGTACAGGTAATGAAATGATACTCATATTGCATTCTGCTGTATTTACTAAGTAGGGAAAGAACAATACAGAATTTGACTTTTCTAGAAAATCATAAAAACTATTTGATAGAAATTTAAGAACAGTGAAAGAGTATAGTACAGACTAGTATTTGATGAATAAAAGGTTTGTTAGAATAAGATCCCAGAATTTTGGTACAGTAAGATGTGAACATTAGTACAGTAGGGTTGGAGGTTAGGAGATATGTTACGTACTATAAATTATGTGCAGGAGTAGAAGGAAGTTACCACAAGGAGAGATGATATAAGCCATGATGCTCCAGAAAAAAAATACGAAAGTGAAAAATATGGTTAGGGTGGTTCATGAGTTAGTGGAGTTGAGACAGCAGTTTAATGTGTAATCAGAAAGATTATTGCATAATGCTGACATATCACAAAAAACAATGTGGGTAGTCACAATAAGGACACTGACATGAAGATTAATTCTTTCCGATTAATCATACCTTATGGGTACTGACATAACTGTTGATAATTTCCAGTTGCTGATAATGGGTCATAGTCCACCAAGCTGTTAATGGGTACCTGACTTTAAAGATGGGGAAGTGAAGGTGATAAGTGCAGTGCCAGCCTTACTTCCTCCTTGTGTACTGAAGGGGTAGTGTACAGTGTGATGTATCCACACAGTCTTTAATAGGCTGTCAGGTTTATGAGATCTTCTTTTGTACTGCAGAGGTGCTGAAACAGGGTACAGGGGGTCCCAAAGTTACGAAAGTCAGAAATGTACGTAAGAACACATACCATATGTGCTCTATATCACAGCTCAAGTCCTTTTATACATGTTGAATCACTTAATTTAACAGAAAAGAAGAAATTTAATGACAAAATAGTTAAAGGAAAGTTAAAATTAGAGTTTACCACTTACCTTGAAACCTTGGGTCTGGCTGATTTTCCACCCGTATTACTAACAATCTTTCCACTTCAGTTAACAATCCACTTCATTGTTTTGTTATCACAGTTGAGTGCATTGGTGTAGATCCTTTTACATATTTAAGAATTTTCTCTTTGTTTTTCAAAATTGTTCTGATCGTTGACTGACTGAAGCCAAACCCTTTACCAATGACTGAGGGTGTTTCGCCTTTTTCAGAATGTTTAATTACATCAACTTTCACTTCCATGGTAATTGTATTCCTTTTCTTGGATGCACTACTATCACTTATATCAGGTTTGCATTTGGTAGCCACGATGAGGGCAGAAAAATAGTTAATAAGCAAAAAAACAACAGTGTGCCCTTGATCACACACATTACTGAGGTGAAGATAAGGTGTACTGACGCTCCCTCAAGGCACGTGGCTGGGCGACGCATTTCTCCCCACCCGCCACTCTGTATGTTAATGCTATGAACCAGTTGTACCTATGTTGGATTCTTAAAATAATTGACCTTATGGGACCTCATACATATCGGCGGGTGTTCGTAAGTCGGACATTTGTAACTCGGGGACCCCCTATAATTATTTCTAGTTCCTCATAATTTAGGAGCACTGACACAGTAGTTGACTACTTCAGGTTCCTGGAGCTGAGGGCCGTGCAGGCATGGCAGCCATTTTAGATCCTGAGGAGAACCTAAACTTGGAGCAACTTTATTCAGGGGTTGTGAAGGCTCTTGCTGCATATGCTCGTCCATTGTTTGTCAGAACTGCCAAGAAATTGGATATGACTGGTAAGGTTTTAGACTTTCATCATCACACTTTAAAGATTGTATTTTTGTGTAGTGCATGTTACTAAGAATCACTTAGTAACACATATTCTTAATTGCTGTCATTTCTTCTTTCTAGCTGCCTTGTGTACATGAGTATTTATATTTGTTCTTAATTTTTTCTTCTTTTTACAAGTCACTGTAAGAATATGTGAAGTAGAGCTACATATTTGATTCTGGGATTACAGGATGATATCTGTCTCTTTATATGTAAAGGAATACATTTTGTTATCTGAGTTCTGTGTTAGGAAAAAAATGTTTGTCATTTTTTGAAAACTGAATTGATAAAAGTTTGATTTTATATCTCCCCAAACAACAACAAAGAGTTATTGATTGAAGAAGTGGGAGGTTTGATTGACGTTCAATGGAATGGCCTCCTCAGACAATGCTTTTGAAAATAGTTTGAAAAGCTAATAGAATTTTTAAACGTGTTTTGCTGACATGTTACAACTCTTCAGGTATGCGAGCTGGATTAGGTGTAACAGGTAATCAAATAAAACAATAATAAAAAAATAAATGAAGGCTGGTGCCAGAACTTCCCACTAGACATAGTCAAATTACTTTGCTGTTAAATGGAATAATAAATTTTTTCAAACATTATATAAATTCTGCATTACTTTTCAGGAACTTACAAGCTTAAGAAGGTGACCATCCAAAAGGAAGGCTTTAACCCAAATATCATCCAGGATAAGTTGTACTTCTTGGATGTTAAGGCGAAGGCATATGTACCTCTTACTATTGATCTTTACAACAAGATTATCAATGGGGAAATCAGAATTTAAGTTACAGGAAAAAGAATCGCTGCCACTGTGTAAAAGTAAAATTTTCCTTGGACACGTCATTTTTGTAAATGAACATCTTGTTTGTAATTTACAGGAAAATTTAGCACAGGGAAAACAAAGATGCTTTGAAACCTTTGTACTTGTAATGACTGATATATTATGATCATTTGATCTTCTAGCTCTCCAATTTTTTAAATACTGTATTGATTAGAGTGTATGAGTCCGACATATATGCATTATGGTATACTGTACAGTACATAAAAAAACAAGTTCTAATGGAATCTTTAGGATGAACATAATGAAATAAGGGTAACCATGTTGCATTTAGATGTAGCTACTCCAGATGCTGTAACTTAATACCTGCTTCAGGTGACTCACATATTACCAGCCAAACTCTTCTGTTTGAAAACCCAGGGCCTTTGATCTTGATGAATTTTCATCGCTGCTGAGCCCGTAGAAAATGGGACTTGGAGGTGCCAACTGCCACAAAGGCTGAGTGCTAGAGATTCTTGCTAGCACACTAGTCATATACTCATGACCCATATTTTTGTCTGTTACAAACTATCAATTCATTAAGTCAGCTCTCAGTTCCAGTCATTTGTGCAAAGTGAACAATTGCTTCACTGCTTGCCTACACCTAATGTTGAGTGCTAAGGGCAACCCTTCATTCATTTAAGCATTTTTTTTTTACAGGATTTAGCTGCAAAATACTGTCTACAAGTTTAATATTAGTGATGCATGTATTGTTGTATGTTTCAAGAATGTTTCCAACTGCTTAATGACTCGGCGTGAGGCTAGCTAGCTGATGTGTTGGTATGTGGAACCATACAACCCAACACTATGCTAAATGCTGGTGTTTGGCCTTAGGCTTATAAAGGGATACTTTTCTCTATATGACAAAGACTTTTTGAACTGGTAGAGTTTGTTTACATGCTTGGCAAACTGGAAATGATGTTCACCATTCTCTTTGCTTGATGATAGCAGTTCATTCTCACCTTGGGATACAGATCTATGAATATTTTAGTCTGTCCTTTGAGCCATTGGTCAAGATTTGGGGTAATTTGATCATATGTTTGTCTAGGCCATCAAACTAACTCTCTGAGCTGTTTTCATTGATATTCTAACCTCAGGTTAATCACATCTTCATTGGCTTTCTAGTGGAAACAGGTCCTGGCAGTCAGTCCTGCTATGTCATTATGGTACTTGGTGCTGGGATAAACTAATTATTCTCTAGGATTGATTAATATCATATTTCTTACTATTGTTTTTAATAGAATTGTTTCACATGTAAGATGCATAGTTCCACTAGCCTATGAAGTCTATATTTGTCCCTTTCCTTCTCTGTATGTAATTCTCTTCAGAATATGGGTCACCCAAGCCATATAGATCCTAGATATCCATTTTATAACCACGTCTGGATTTAATGGCTCATTTACCCTTCCTCTTCCCATGGGATAACATTTGACATAACCTGGAACTGAGGATGACCTGATGAAATGGCCAAACCAAATGAGGGTAAGACTCTTTACCCTGCAGGTTTGAGTGGCAGCTGTTGCTTCCAAGATTTCCCCCCCCCCCCTTTTTTTAAGCTATGGTTTTGAGCTAATTATTCAGTTAATTCTTACCACCAAGGGACCTGGTATTTCAACACAGACTTTGTCTGTTACCGACAGTAAGTGAATTGCTCAATCCAGGTTTGGTTACAAAATGGGACTCTAGCATCCCTCCTTTATTTCTCGGTAGTTGATATAGGCTTTATTCCCCATCAGGTTCAAAGTAAGGTTGCTACACAGCTTTTAATAAACATATACTCCCTATATAGTGTTCAGAATCCCAGGAGGGATGATATATATATATATATATATATATATATATATATATATATATATATATATATATATATATATATATATATATATATATATATATATATATATATATATATATATATATATATATATATATCATGTAAATTCACAATGAAAACGTGGATAAGATAAATCTTGATAAAATCACACGGGAAAATGGAAACAACGGAGTACCTTAGCTTTCGTCTTTATTCAAGACATCTTCAGAGGCAACTGGATTACATGGACAGAGAGAGGCTTAAATATACAGGGTGACCTAAAAACATGAGGTCAGGTCATAATGATGACATCCACTAATCCCCACACCAACACAACCGTAGAGGAGCTTAAGAGAAGGGTGGTGACGTGACTAGACAGGTCAGGTCAGAAAAAAGGGACCCACAAAATAACTATCATACATCAAGATCAAAGGTTTTCAAAGCATTTTTAACCTTGGGCCACTGACAAATAAATTTATGTAACATTATCAGTTTTGAACTGACCATCACTAAGGTTTATTGATTTAATTCCTTAATCAAACTAGCTTCAACCAGAAGTCTTTCTGTGACACAAGATGATTTGAATACTTCTAAGCTTTTTTCCCAAGCAATGGGGTGATTATTATTCCTAACATGAACGAACAAGGCACTGCTTTCAGATGCAGTTCTGATATTATACTTATGTTGTTTGATTCTGAGCTGCAGTGTTTTTCCTGTCTGACCTACATAATTACAATTACATTTGCTACATGGAATACAATAAACACTTCCATTTACATTCAAACTTGGGCTATTCCTTATTAACATATTGGTAATGGTTGAGTCATACTTGAAAACAACATTAATATTTAGAAGCTTGAGGGACCGAACTAACGGGACAAATTCATCACGATAGGGCAGAGTCAAAATATTCTTAAGTGTAGGAACTTGTCTGGTTAGAGAGGAATGAAAGGATTTTTTAGCCCTTTTAAAGCAACGATCAACAAACACAGAAGGGTACCCAAGTTTCTGTGCAATAGAACGAATGTGTTTAAATTCATCGTCAATAAATTCAGAGTCACAAATACGCAGACATCTTAGGAACATAGCAGAAAAAACTGACATTTTGGTAGACTCAAGGTGATTGGATAAAAAGTGAATGAAACTGTCTACCTGTGTGGGCTTTCTATATACCTTAAATTTATAGTTTTGGCCATTTCTCATGATAAGCATATCAAGAAATGGAAGGGATTCATTTATTTCTCTTTCAATTTTGAATGTGATACTAGGGACAATATTATTAAGCTTGTCTAAAAATTCCAATGGGTCACTGTTTTTAGGCCAAAGACAAAGAACATCATCTACATATCTATACCAAGGAGGAATAAAGTCCACTATATTGGGTAGTAATCTAGACTCAAAAAACTCCATATAAATACAGGCTAGAGGAGCAGAAAGACAATTACCCATGCTCATGCCAAATACTTGCTTGTAGCGCAATAGATATATATATATATATATATATATATATATATATATATATATATATATATATATATATATATATATATATATATATATATATATATATATATATATATATATATATATATATATATAATATCAATCATATTAATAATGATTGAACAAAATTTTTTTGGGTGAATAGTCTAAGATTTAATTAATATGACCACACCTTAGCACCAATTAATTAGTGAAATCGCTATCCTGGTTTGAATTGTTTTTGGCTGTGTACTTGTCTTTTATAATTTTTATTTGGAAATATTTAAACCTTTTTAAACAATTCTCTGAGGTTGAGATGTTTGTTACAAATCAAAATTTTACCCCTAAAAATGTGTTTTTTGTCTTGTTTACATTAGTAAGATAAGTTAACTTAGGCTAAGAAGTAATACTTTCCAAAAGATTAAATATGGTTGTGCAGTATTGTTAAGGGCTTTCCCCATACTTGTAGCTAAAGCTAAGCAAAATTAGAGGAAATCAGGATAAAGTTAGACTAATAGTAGAGCATAAAAGTAATTACAGAATAATGAAAAGTATGTGGAAAAAAGTGAAGCTGTTTATACACACAGCTTCACTCTCTTCCACTTACTTTTCATTAATACTGTAATTACTTTTACTCTCTACTCTTAGGCAAGTGAATAATTGAAAAAGTACAATGACCATGATGTACAGATTATACTCTGGGTCATATGTCTGAACTGAAAACTGCTGGTTTGAAATGCAGTGGGTACCATTAACTATGTTTATTGTATAACTCTGTAGGTGTCAAAAGTAACACACAAAATATATTGTTTAGGAACATCACAAGGAAACAAATAAAGGGAATACTAGCTGCTTTCACTGTTGGGTGCTACTGTATAGTTTTTGAGTTGTTGTTTTCTTGAGATGTAAAGATGAAATCTCACATTCACAGTACAGTACTGGTGTTGACCATTATACATATAATTGTTGTACGATCAATCAGTTTTACGATCTAACGAAATTAACTCCAAATACTCCTATGCAATGACTGAAATCAGATTTACGATGCTTGTTGCCCGATGGCTACCCGAATTGTTTTCCTGCATTGTCACTGCTATGAAAAAGTGATGAGCAATATCTCTCAATATACTGTAACGAGATATGGCACAACCTCCGAATGGTAACACATGCCACCCACACAGGATATGTAGGAGGCTCTGTCAGCTTTCAGTAACTGCCTAGCCGAACTGTGTCACATCGCCCAGAGAATGTTTTGCGTGTGGAAGAAGCTATTTTTTGTACATAAAAGGTGAAGAATAAATAAAAATAATAATAAAAAAAAAGTGCTGCATTGCCATTTGGCAATCGTTTCACTCCATATGGAACACGATTTAGCGAGCCAAGATCTCCCACTCCATTCCACCTTCCCCTGCTCTGTGTTAACTGCTGCACACATAAGAAATTTTTATTCTCTAAGTTTTTGACCTTATGATAATTATTTAATAATTTTTTTACATTCTATATGAAAGATTGTTAGCACGTAACAAAGTTTAAAACAAAAGGATTAACAAATGTCTACCCGAAATTACGAGTTGAAAAATAACTGCCGAGTGCAAACTCTGGTTCTTCATGGTCTCAGGAACGGAACCTGTTTTCCCCGTAAGTTATTAATATCGATATATGATCAATCACCTTACAATGGCTTTTCAAAGTCCCTAACTCCATCATATAATGGTCAACACCTGTATTATGTTAACCCCTTCTCTACACAAGCTGAAAACAAGGTACAGGGGACCCCCCAAATTCGCGGGAGTTAGGTTCTCAAAATGGCTGCGAATCGCCAAATCCGCAAATAACATTTGCTGACTGATGAGGGGGGGGGGGGAGTACATTTTTACTTGTGTACAAAGAAATGCATATTCCCTTAATGTGTTTGCCCCGAGGACAATTATTTCTTTTACCTGTATTGTATATACAGGTATGTGTAGACACACACACACAAAACACATACAAATAAATAATAATGGGAAAATACTCTCACAAATAATAATGCACAAATTTATTAAAAATGTGAGTCTACCCTCAAGTCTGTGCTCTATTAATAAAACACGGACTTGAGGGTAGACTCACATTATTAAGAAATTTGTTTCTGATTATTTGTGAGAGTATTTTCCCTTTATTATTTATTTGTATGTGTTTTGTGTTGTGTGTGTCTACACACACACACATATTTACAATGCAGGTAATGGAAATTACTGTCTCTAGAACGAATGGCTCCTTGTCCCAACCGCAAAAATGCCGGAAACTTTAAAACTACCCACAGACATTCTTGGGTACATCCAGGGTGTCATCCGCGAATAATAGAGGACCACAAAATAAAAATCCATTGTTGGGTTTGATGTGGGTACCATGATTTAGTATGTGGTAAAAAGGGGATTAAGAATGTGTTTTATTTTGGTATCTAGTAACATATGTTCACTTTTTTATACACTATGCTTGGATATATTTCTTTTAAAGTTTATTTTCATATTTCTTTACAATCAAAGGTAATGTTTTATTTTCATTTAATGGTAAAACAGTACAGTATTGTATAAATAAGCATAAAGAAAATTAGTTAAAAGGTGTAAACAGTGACATGCACTGCATACTGTACAGTATTGTTTTATTAAATATATAAAAAGTATGATATGACTATTAACTTTGTGTGAAAGATAGCTCAAGATATTCAGCATAATCATCTATGGTGGAGTTGTATTGGGGTTCAGAGCTTATATATATATATATATATATATATATATATATATATATATATATATATATATATATATATATATATATATATATATATATATATATATATATATATATATATATATATATATATATAATTTTTTTTTTTTGTCTGGGCCAAAATTCAATGTCATACCAACCTTAAACCCATAAACTTGAAAAAAAAATTAAGTGTTGGAGAGAAACATACAGTGATATCCCCGTTAGCTGGAACAATTGGTGCAGAGCACTTCTGGGAATGAGAGATTTCCAGGTAACAAGGCAACCGCTCAAAGCCGGAAAAAAATCCCTCGTCCTTGTAATTTTCCGGGTAACGCAAAAATGATATCTGAAGTTCCAGAAAATGCACCTGATTTTCATCGCTCAAACCCGGAAAAAAACTCCCCCATCCCTGGAATTTTCCGGGCATCGGAAAAATTTTCTCAGAAGTTTCTGGAAAATGTGCCCCTCGGAAAATCGTTCCCAAAGCCATAATTTTCCGGAAAATTCCAGCTTTGTGAACGATTTTCTGTGAAAATTTAAATTCCGGCTATCAGAGAGTTCCGGGTTTGAGGGATTCCAGCTAACAGAGATATTACTCATCCAAAATAAACTTCAATATTTGTACATGTTTAAATTCAGGGGATCAAGGTTGGTATGACACATATTTAGGCCCATAAACATGCTTTAAACATCTTCATTTTACAAAAATTTCGAAAATGACATGACATGACCCCAAATGCTACTTTATATGCTAATTCTTCCAGCATTGTCCAATAGGGATTGTAGCCCCCCCTCTATCAGAATTCTGTCTTCACTTTCAAAAAAATTTTCAATCCTTCCACAATTTTCATCCCCAGACTAGTTTCTTCATTTTCACAGTAGCTTTATAACCTTTTGTCAAGTTTTGTTACAACTTCTTTCTTCACTTTGAGGATAGTTAGATACATTCTACTGAGATTAAAACCGCTTTTAATGACTGCATAATCTTCCTCCCACTAGCTTCACTGAGCCTTTGGTTCATTTAAAACAACCTGGGTCACTTGTACACATCCATCGAATTTACTCACTTTTTAATCACATCTAGAGGTTTAACAAGAACTTTTACCAACTCACTGTTTCTGAAGTGAATGTTAAAGTTCACTGAACTCCTTGTTGCTATTTTACTTGATAACAAACCAAAATCAAAGTGTGAACACATTTTTAGTGTAGTGTGCATGTATCAGTTTTGGTTTGTAGTAAATGGGTAATATATGAATATTTACAGTTATTTTTATTTATTATTTGAGGGGAGAAGGGTAATAATAATTTGGTGTCAGGAAAATCATGAATACTGAGATATTTTGCAAATGTTTGCTGAAATACTTAAAACCTCATTACTCATACAGGTCACACAGTGTCTTGAAATGCCCATATATCATGGAATTTTATTTTTTGACCTTGAATTATGCCTTAAAAGGTCATTCCATATCAATATTATAGAAATAAATCAAATTGGTGAAACTCATTTTGATTTATCCTTCTGTCAATAACCTAAGGAATTCTACAGATTTTAATTTGCCAGATATAGTTTAACTTCATAGTATTGGTAGGAGTCAAGAAAGATAAAAGATGAGAGCTTTTAGGTGTGGTAGATGCTATTGGGAGATATCATTCATTCTGCCCTGATGTAGGGGAGTGAGACATGTGTCAGTAGTATAATGATGTTGAGTAGCTTTTGAGGATGGAGGTTCTGCTGATACATGGTGTTAGGCTTTATGAACTAAAAGATAAACTAAATTGAAATCATGAGCTACGTTTTGGAAGGGGAAGACCAGTGGAGAACACATCTTTTTATAACATGTTACGGCCCCCCACTTTTCACAGCTGGTTACCAGCGGCCAGGTCGTATATACAGAAGCAGTAGGTATACCATATCGTCGATTTACCACTGGCTGTCCCGCCAGTCTCCGGTAATTTCCCAACGATCAGCATCAGTGTAGAGACCAACACAACAGGCAGGTAGATTTCCACCCAGTCACAGAAATACACTTGCAAACTGTAGTCTTCTTTAATTATCAATAAATTTTCACAAAACTGTTCACAGGGTATGCCTTTACCACTGGACTTCTCACTTTGAATATATACTGTCAGCACACTACCAGTGTACAATTCCCTAGTCTTTTCACGTTATATTGTTCACAATACTTGCACAACAATTATCTTCAGCAGTCCCTAGGCTTGTACTTTACATTCTGTGCAAAAACAATCGATTGACCTCCCCTAGACAGTTCGCTGCCACTTATATACCTCTTCAAATGCCCCTAGAACATCCTAGCATCATCAAGACATGCCTGGGAAGTTCTAGAATGTTCTATTCTAATCGAGGCTTACAATACATAAGTAAATCATAACAAAAATGATGCAATACATTCTATAAAATTCTTATAGGTAATACATCAATATGTACAAGAAAGTCTTCCCAAACTTGCCAAAATAACTGTTGCTTGGAAAAAGAAAATAATCAGAACACCTACTATAGTTCACAAAAATTATAATACTAAATTATGCCTCGGCATAACTTAAATTAATGAATGATTGCAAATGAGTCTTATGTTGCTCTTGATTCCTGGTACTCCATACTGAAGTAGGAAAGGGCTTCCATATATAATTTAATGCAAGTTTTGGAAATTGACTTACTGGGATGCATTATACAGTAAACTAGACAACCAATGGTAGTGGCATCTATCATCAAGAGCCACCACAAGTCATTGAAACATGACCATGGGATATCAGTTCTCAGAAATTGTCACAGGAATCTCAGATAAAATCTTAAATTCTCCAAGATAATGACTGCAAAGAAAAAGATTGGAAAAAATTGATAAATTTGGATGTTAAAAGAGACTGGATCAGTTAACCCTCTCATGGTCTTTCAATACAAATTGTGTCACAAAGCATTCCCATGCTGGCACAACTCCTCCCACTCAGCCCTATCAACCACGTAAGCACTTCGCACTAGCTTAGTGGGCTGGCAAATGCATCTGAGGGTGCAATTTGGGTCTGGATCGCTCTACCCATTGTTTTTAAAATGGAAAAACTGTTTCCTGTTATCGACGCAACCTGCATCGAAAGACTGTGAGGGGGTGAGATTTCTAACCATGGCCTGGAGTACCACAAGGTTACATGCAGTGTTGAGATGGTTTGGGCAGGCAGAAGATGGACATGGTACAAACAAATAAGGAAAATGGTAGAATAGAAAGAGAAAGACAAGTTGCAAAGTAGAAGGCACTCGGAGATCATACAGATGGGAAAATAGAGAATAATTAAAAAATACTAGATACTGTACTGTATGATGTAAGGATGTTGAAGTTACCCTGCTGTATGGTGACATTTACTCTAGTGAATGTGGTTGCAGATGTAGATAACAATAATTTGGTATCGATATTAATAGCGAGTGATAATTTGACACAGTACAGTATACAGTACTGTATAAGTAGATGATAATTTGGTAATTTATGAATGAATAACCTTATTAAATTTGGTATACAGCACTGGTGACAAATGAGGTATCTAATAATTCACTTTGTGATGTAAAAAAAGGTTACCCGGTAAGGATTAATACATTACCTCGAGTCTTTAATAAAAAAATTACAAATACCTCCACGCTTAATATAAATATTCTATTTACATTAAGTATATTTCCTAAGACAGGAAAGAATTAAGAAATACCAGATCTGTGAAACATGGTAAGCATTAAAACATTACCCCTTCCATGCTGTTGTACTTATGTGTTGGAAATTGCAAATGTTACCTAGTTAATGGAATTATCAGAGTGTGCAGGAAGGGATCAAGAAGCTGAATGGTTGCAGCAAATAACTACCTGGTATACCACAAGGGGTCACAGCTCAAGATTGAAGAAGCCACAAGTCCAGAAAACTGTGAGGGCAAACTTTTTCGGAGTGAGAGTTGTGAACTCTTTCAAGACCAGACTTGACCAACACTGCAGCAGGTTCAGGTACATTCAGGAGCCGGTGCATGCCCAGTACTTGCCAACAGTGCATAACAGAGATGTGACCGATCCTCCAAGCGGCTAACGAGCCGATCAGTGGTGAAGAGGATAAAAGTAAAGTATATATATATATATATATATATATATATATATATATATATATATATATATATATATATATATATATATATATATATATATATATATATATATATATATATATATATATATATATATATTGCATTATTCAAGTCTTATAAAAGCTGCCTTGCATAGATTCCAGAATTCAATCTCAAAAAAAGGGAATTTGGAAGTTTAAAAACATACAATAGCTTTACGTGATTAAGCCTTCATAAGATGCTAAATGAGAAATCAAACATTTCCTCAACTTGTGACCCCTAAGACTGCACAAATGCAAGCAAGTACTGTAATTTTCATTATTAATGTAGCTTATGATATCCTTTTCTATTTTTTTTACCATTTTCAAACAATTCTTAATAATGCTTGCATAATTACTAAAGCATTGATGCAGTGCCATGTTTTATGTAATATCAATCGTTAAACTAGTCATACCACAAAACTAGACTACTATAGCACAATATCTGTTGTAAATATTTCAATGTACTTTCTAAGTTTTGAGATGAAATTATAACAATGACAAGAATCACTAACTTTTTCATGAATAGAATCTAACACATCAAAACAATGAACCCCACATGATGGAAAGGTGTCCATACAGGTCATAATTTTGTCTGCTTGTAGACATCACTTTTTTGTGTACAAAAACTCCTTTTCTGCTGAGATTATCAAAGTTTCTGATATATAAGTCATTTGGCATGATGTTCTGGAAAGAGGTGAATATCAGCAGTCAGTGCCTTAGATGTGCAACCTTTAAACTCACTATTAAAAATATTGACTTTGTTGTTTGAACAGGTACAAGAGAAACATTCAAAGTTAGTGTTCCTATGTGCTGGAGATAAAACACTGATATTTCAGTTCCACTAAACCAGTAGGAGAATCTTGGGGTGAAGGCAGTGTCAATCAACATTGCCAGCATGTATCAGTGACTTTAAATCAGTATGAGAATATTCACCTAAATTTGTAATGATTTATGTGATTTACAATGACGTTTGCAGCTAATATACAATAAACTACTGTATTTCATTTGAAAGTTCAGTACAGTAATTTGGTTTGGATTATGTATTTATTGCCAAGAGTTTCATATTTTTCCAGTAAAGGAAGATCTATCATTGAATGGAGTACTGTATCAGAAATTGAAAGTTCAATAACAAGGCAAAAAAAAAAAATATTAATGTTAAAGGTATAAATTTCAATCAGTATCTTTGCGAGAGATTTGATACGAATGAGGTAATTCAAAGAAAACTGCTTTTCAAAGTTATGATAAAACTAAATACTAGGAAGCACAGATAATGAGATCAGTAGCTAAATTTGTATAGTACTGTAGTTGACTAATTACATATTTCCTCAGTGTGTGCTTTTTCTTTGGAGAAAAAGCACCTGATTGCATATAGGAAATAGCTATACTGTATTAGGTTTGTACTAATTTGAAGTAAAATAAATTGGATTTAAACACGTTCCAACCATTTCAGGCAGTTAAAAGTTTACTACAGTATCTTGCAAGTACCCTCCAAGGTGTGATGTATATTAACAATAACCTAGTGAAAAACATCACAGTTGTAGTACCATTCCTTGGTAAGATGCTGGATTGATGGGCTGTGGTGCAGCAAAAAGATCACAGCCCTGATACACAAACCGTATTAACTGTCGCTGTAGTTCTGGATCAGTTATAAGTGCCTCTGTTACTCTTGCTTCCTCCAGTTCACCTTCTATTTCATATTCACTGTTATCTTCACTGTCACTCAATTCCTCAATGTTAATATATTCAAACTCATCTTCATCCATTGCTTCATTATCATCTAACACTACAATTTCTTCATCTTCACTATTATCTTCAACTAATGTTACTTCAAACCCTGCATTTAATGTCATTGGCACTCTCAAGGCAGTAGCATTATTGGCTGAAGGAGCTTCCTCTACTAGCACATTAGATGGGGTATTATGTGCATCCACAATAGCACTGGACAGCTGGTGGGAGAGTTTTGTGAGTTCCACATGGGCATGTTCTCGAGTTAGATGTGCAGCGAGGCCAGTCACCACTGGATGGTCCTCTGGCAGATGCTCCTCCTCTAATAAAAACCTGTGTGAAGTGGTGTTAAGGATTATAACTTCATCACTATAAAAGAGGCTTTCTACTTTAATCTTTGAAGCACAGTATATACTCCAGTACAATATTGTGTTGTACTATCATTTTGTTGTCAAATCAAATTCTCTCCCCAACAAAGTGGTTAGGAATGCACAAAGAAATATTCAGAAGAGTATCCTGGGCAAAACAAAGTTTATGTAGAGTACTGAGGATCTTGTAAAATTAGTGTCTAGTTAGTTTAAATAATTACTATGCCATTTTACATGATTATGTTGATGAGGATCAGATTGATTTATTCTTAGACTCTCCATGAAGGTAATGAGCTATAAAGTATACTTTTCAAATACTGTATTGATTAACAAAATAAATAAACCATAATCACAACTTTTCTCAAAAGATGTCACTTTTGGGCAGGAATATTGTCAGCCAGTTTCAAGATTTGTTTATGAGTTATATAAGTGAACATTATAATTATTCTGCAAGAAAATATTTATCAAAGAAATGAGCAAATACAGTAGTGCACTATACAGTAGTACTGTACAGGTACTGTACTAAATTTACTCAGCGCAAAGTTAAAGTAAAATGGATGTTAAGTTTGAGGTTTGTTTACTGTTGCATATCAGATGTTGCTGTTAATTTCACACAACACATGTAATCATAAAAGAACAAACCTCAATGTTTCCTTCAAACAGTCCTGGTAGCCAGCCACAACATCAGGATCAACTATTTCCTCCTCCTCATTGAGGCTGGGAGGGATGGCTGGCGATTGAGCTGATTCCTGTACTGGATCTGCCCCTACCTCAGGCGTTGATGCATCCACACCCTGACTAGAATCATTTTTGCGTGGTGACACTGGTACCGGCATCTAGAAACAATGTTTTTTTTTCATTTACTCTCAGGGTCTTTAAAGAAAACACATAAAATGGACTGCAGCCCACATTAATACATCTACAGGTAATGATTGTTCTCCCACTTTTCATTCAAAGACTGAAACATATATAACATGCACATTCATTTAATGTTTCTTATAGTTACGGATAATGAAGATGCATTGAATGTGTAGTGGATTCCTCCCCTACAAACGCTTGTCGCTGAGCAGCCGACCCCGCGAATTCCCCAGTGTATGCCTCGTGGTCTGGGTCAACCAGCGCCGCCTTACATGACGGAGGTCAACTATTAAGCCACGCCTACCCCCGCTATATAAGACCTGACCTCGTGGTGACCATCCCTTCTTCTACCTACACCACCCAGCAAGCAACACCCCTCCTCCTGCCTGGCGGTCCTCGCTCCCGCCGGCGAGCATGGCGACCCACAAGCTGTCCTCCTCTGAGCACCCTCACCAACCAGCTCTCTCTACATCACGCTTGTAACCACGCTGCCTTCCCTGCACCAAGCTGCACTGTACATCCAATACAACATGTATACAGAGAGCACTTTGTGTGTTTCCTTTCTCCATCCCATCCTGAGTGTGAACGAAACAACTCGTACCCCACAAATGTTTTTAAAGATTTTTTTTTTTACGTGGGGATTAGCACACCCGGGCACAGGTTATTGACTCACAACTGGGCCTGGGGGGGGGGGGCGAAAATGTAATAATAATGTTAATTATAATATACAGAGTAATAATAATTCATGGTAAATAAAATTTATAGTAAAAAATTAAAATAAAATAAAATAATACTGGTAATAATAACAATAATAATAATAAAGAACCATAATAATAATAATAATATAGAGTAATAATAATTCATGGTAAATAAAATTTATAGTAAAAAATGAAAAAATGAAAATAAAATAATACTGGTAATAATAACAATAATAATAATAATAAAGAACCATAAATATATAAAAAATAAATAAAAAAGATCAAAATTGAGAACCATTATACTGTATGCATGTTGTGTTGTCAGTAGTACGAGAAACAATTGAGACCCTGCAATTGTGTGTAATTGAGGCAGAAAGTCAGAGATCATCAACCTGGGACTTGGTCACAATTTTCGTGATGCCATATGGCAGCAGGGTCTACCATTAGACAATACATAATTATGCTTCCAATATCTTCCCAGTTGGTAGTGTCTCCCGGTATGGATAACTATACAATATAACCTCAGATATCGGGCATTTAACCATCCTGAACTCTCAAGCAGCCAGCATTTTCATGTGGTGGGGTCAATTTCTGGGAAGTAATATCTAATCACATTTTAAAAAAAATGGTTTGAATTTGGTGCCGCTTCACCCATGGTTCCATTTCTGGGCACTTGAGTCACTGTGTGGATCCTCCAGTTGGCTAAACACACTGGATGCCGCTATTAGTAACCTTAATGAAGAAAAACTAGTTTTAAGTGTAATCTTATGAAACTTAAGTGTTTAAGGAACTTAACAAACCTGAAAAAGAGTAGTGAACTAGGTGATTACTCTACCCATATTTACTCAAGCGAAGCTCAACTAGTAACTATCTGCTACTGTGCAACAGAATTACACACCACTGCAGTGCTACATAACAAGTGAGTACAGCCCTTTTATTCCTTTTACAATATTTACTGTGACGCTTTTCTGAGTTTGATATATGTATTTATACTTTACTTATACTTTTATCCTCATCACTGATCGGCTCGCTAGCCGCTTGAGCGGTTGGTCATGTCTCTGTTACACCCTGTTGGCAAGAATTGGACCCTGCTCTAGTGTTGGTAAAGCTTAGCCTTGAAAAAGCTCACACTCGGTGCCATCATAACACACACTGGCAGTGTTCCAACAGTTCACAATTCTCAAGCCAAATAAGTTTGCCCTCACTGTTTTCTGGACTTGTGGCTTCTTCAACCCTGAGCTGTGACCCCTTGTGGGGCAGGCGTCCGGCAGCTCCAGGTAGGCATATTCGACCGAGTAGTGCCCTCTGAAATGTTTATACATTTCGATTAGGTTGCCCTTTGCCATTTGTAGTATAATCTAGGCAGTTGCAGGTGTTCTAATCTAAGAGTAACTCAAGCATCCGGAAAATATGATTATCCAGCACACTCAATTCCCCGTGCGTTCCGAATATCTGAGCTTATACTGTACTAACCATTAATAGCTACTTGTTTTGATACAATAGAACATATTGTACCTTTATTCCAAAACTAATAGCTTTCCTTTCTCCTAAAAGGATGTCTTATATTTAAAGATACCCACAGTACTGTATATCTATGTATCAGGGGCAGATACGGGAATATCAAAAGGGGGGGTCCAGGGTCCAAGAATTTTTAGGTGGGGCAACATGGAGAGCAAAGCGAACCTACCCGGGGGGGGGGGGAGGGGCATAAGCCCCCAGATTATTATATTATTTTGTTTTAATCTGACCAATATCAAGGGAATTTTGAGGCCATTTTAAAGCCATGTGCACTTTATATTAGGAGATATTCTGAGGTCATTAGTAATTACTTTTTGCTATTAAAAAATGCCTGAGTACAATACTGCATTAAAGAAAAAGTATTTGTAATTTTCTGATGAAAAGGGGAGTCCGGACCCTCCCTGGATCCGCCCTTGTGTTATAATGACCGGATGTGATGTATATGTACTACAATACATGTGTAGGCATGCATGTTTACACGTGTGTTTGTGAACATGTGAGGGCTGAGGGTGGGTGCTTGAGTATATGCTGTACTGTACTTTAAACAGTACTGTATTCATATTCATTTCCTTTTAATTTTGTAAAATTAATCAGGATCAATGAAGATAAATTATAATGATTTGATCTGCAGGAAGTGAATAGGAATACAGTACTGCATAAAGAAAGTACAATGTAAGAAATACCATCCCGCGATATTGTTTTTGTCCATATTTCGTTCAAGGATGACCAATTAGCCACCATGTTTGAACTTCACGGAACATTTCTGGGTTTTGTTAAGATACCAATTCGAAAATATTAGCATACTGTACTTTTATATATACCAATTCCAATATTTACTAAACATAAACGAAAATAAAAATATCTTAATATTTTACTAGGATATATTAAAATATTATATTGCAGATACAATAACATATCAAATCTAAAATAGATAATCATATACCGGTAGCCCAGGCAGATATTAGGTTGTGGCTCGCTTAACACCTGACCCTCCAAGGTCCGCCAGTTGCCGCCACCTGCACCTCGAAACGTAAGTCTTCACGCCTGCCTCCTCACGGTAATTGTATTCCAAAGAAAATTGTATATACTTTTAATATCTAATTAGATTTTAAAGTTCATTACAAAAAACAGACCAACTGCCCGAACGGCTAGTAAGCTGTTGAATGGTGAAAAAATATTAATTAAAGGTTAAAATAAACAGTAACAGGAGAAAACCAAAACTGCCATTCCAGGTGCCCAAAACGGTAGGCAGAGGACCGTTTTCAACTCTAGATTTTCTCTCTCGAACCCACTTAAACAATACCAAGCAAAATGAGTGATCAATTTTGTAAGAGGTAACATTAAACAATGGAGATGATACCGGTGGTAATGCTTTGCTTCGCTTACTTTATCCTCTTTGCCCCTGATCGAAACGGCCAATGGCGTTCGGCCATGTCTGTTTCGCACTGTTGGCAAGTACTGTACTAGGTATGTAATGGCTCCAGAGTGTACTTGCGTCAGTGATGGTCACGTCTGGCCTTGAAAAAGCTCACACTCGGTTGTGGTAATAGCAGTTGTAGGAGGTGACATTAAATATTTCCACCATTCTGGATGAATGTCACAGTTAACCCGAGAATGTTTAGTTAAAGTTCCGCCTACAGATAAAACAGGCACTGAAGGAAACATTTGTGGCCAAGTTTGGTGGCTAGGAAGCTTGATGCTGTGTGGAGCTTCCGGTCGACCGGGGCACAAGACCTTCCTGACGCAGGGAAGACCTGGCCAGGTTTTATAGGTGCCCATATCTCATTAAGGATATTGAAGCAGTAGAGAATGTACAGAGGAGGGCTACCAAACTAGTACCACAGATCAAGGATTTATCTTATGATGAAAGACTAAGGAAATTACAGTTACCGACACTGGCGTACAGAAGATCTCGTGGGGACCAAGTGGAAACATACAAGATAGTGTGTGGCATATATGACCAGGCATGTACAGCAGGAATGTTCCAGATGAGGGAGGCTGACACTACCCGGGGGAACACAAAGAAGATCTACAAAACAAGAGCGAGGCTAAATCTCAGAAGACACTCGTTTCCGAGTAGGGTTGTCAACAACTGGAATGGGTTACCTGAGTGGGTAGTGAATGTGGAGACGGTGGAAAAGTTTGAAGCAAAATTAGATAAATACTGGAAAAATCAACAAGAATATGATTAAAGGGCACAAATATCCGCCACACACAGCCACCGTCTGAGTAGAGAAGAGGCTATTGAGCTGGAGTCAGGGGGCGTGAGCCTCTTCCAGAAGATCATCTGTGAGTATCTGTGAGTTAATTTTGTGGCCGCCTTAACTGATGCTTGGTATCCTATTACTGCAGTTTTGCCCAGTACACGGCCGACTGTTTTAGCCATCCCTAAGCTTAAGATCTCCTTATTTGGAGTATTTCTCACCCCATTTCAACCAGGGGGCAAAGAAAAATAACGCCAAAAATAAATTTTATTTTTTATTTATTTATTTTTTGAGGGGGGGGGGGATAACTCTAAAACGGGTACTTTTTCCCGAAAATGAAAGTCAAATTCAATTAAATCACACCAAAACACACAGGTTAAACTAATTTCTAAACTACTAGGGCATATTGGCCGAAACTGTAATTTTACCTGATGCTCTACAAAGGCAAGGTAAGGCTTCAGTGTTATTTTGATGCTAATTCTGTATTTGAACTCGACTAGTTAAAGCACTCTTAAATCTTCACTTATGATGAATTAACATCGTATGCAACGAACTTTT